ATATTTATTGTGTGTGTTTTTGTTGTTTATTATATATATATATGTGTGTGTGTGTGTGTGTGTGTGTATGTCTTGTGTCTGTGTGTCTTATGGGTTTAAGCCGATTTTTAGGTTTTATGTGAGATATTAGCTTGAGCTTTTAGAAAGGAGAGCAAGGTACTATTCCTTTTTGATTTCGAATACTGATGCCTAGCAACGCTGTATTTTATAAAGATGTTACGTGAGAAATTTGTGGTACTTGTATGTACATAGTTTGTTGTATACACATGCCTATGCAGGGTTTGGTAGGATTTGAATAACCCATGAACTGCTAGTGAGAGGTTCCCGGTACGTATATATCAATGCTGTTAGTGTCAACGCTTAAACCCGCCGAATTTAGAGATGTGCCTAGAATGTGGGGGTTACTATTCTCTATACTCATCTGCACGATGTTCGGTATATATTCAGCAATGGTATTAGCGCCAGCAGTAAATACCACCGTAACCAGTATCGCGGAGTCTTGTAGAGGTTCAGACCTGCACGAGTGGCGCGTAGAGTTTCTTTGAACCCCTAAAACACCAATTTCGGTACACATACAGAAACGTTGGTAGCACCGCCGGTCAGTGCGGCCGAGCCTGGCGATGCACAGTTTGTCGTTCCACAGGGGAATACGCCTAACAATGGTGTAGAGGAAATGGTTGTAGAAGTATGTGTACATCGTATTTAAGTATACAAACAGCCAACGTTATTACACTCAGTACTGTTAGAGATGTTTTTTTATACTTCGTAATATTGTAAACAGAAAGCAGACTTCCCACAATTTTCTGGCTTTTCTGCAAAACAAATGGGGATGGGGGATGTGGGCGGTTAAAAAATCATTGTGTTAATGTGGACTATAGACCTCTCTTTCTCTCCTTTCTTCAATTTAAATACGGAAATATGTGTATACGTTAAAATTTGACGTATAGATTGTTTTAGCGCAAAAGTCTATGTACGACGTGTATATACGCATCCGTCAGAATGAGCATTTGTTTTTACATGAACTTATTGGGCCTTTCAGAGGCTTTCGGTCTTGAGGCCGTTGACCCAGTCCTCTTGTATTAGCAGGGAGGCCAACAATGTCAGTATGTATGTGATTTGGCTATACCTCATTATGTAGTTTCCGGTACCAAACTTTGTTGGATACAATACCATAGACCTGTGAGTATTGATGACACTGTCGTAATTCTTTTATTATGCGTATTCCGGTAGTATACATGTTCGTGCACGGCAAGGACATATATGTATGTATATATATATGTATGTATGTATGTATA